TAGGTGTCTGCTTCTGGTATCCGTGCAAATTCCCATACAGGAAGCAGAGCCCAACCTTGCGAACTTTGCGGGCAGTGGACGCATTCCTGGTGCGAGGCTTGTTCGCTGCGGCCGTTCAACGCCGTTTGCACCCAGTGCGATGCCGATCACCTTATCTGTCGACCATGCCAGCGTCTTGGGCGGTCGTGGGAAGCGGCCCGCGCTGCAAATACCACACCGCCCGATTGCATCGAACTCAGCGGCTACCACGACCAGACTGGCAGGTTTGTTCAAGTGGACCCCCCGCTCCGCATCCCACTGGCGGACGTGTCACCAGATGGCACCCTCGACGCCGCCCAGTTGGCCCAGATGGTCGCCGCCGTGTCTCCGGAGGGACAACGCAGTGAGAGTCTCCCCGACGCAGGGTGTCACCTAGATGTTCACATGGTAACCAACTGCATGTCTCATACCATGAATTCTTCCTTACAAATCCTGTGTGGACGTCGTTTTGCGGAAGCGCGACAAGTATAGACATAGTGTCGGGGAGTCTCTGCCCTATACAAGGGCTAGTCGCGAGCTGAACGGCCAGAGCACACGAAAACATGCGCCGTGCTTGCTACGTGTCACCTCGCGCTACTTTCTTGCATGTTTCTGTAGGAGAGGCGATTGGAAAATGAGCAGCATAGTGGTTCTTAACTACATCTAAAGCGAAGCACATGTCACCCTCAGAGCGTGCCAACCGACTGTGCATTTTCCGTGGCTGACCTTTCGGTGCTCACAGTGACATTGCAGAAGTCTCCGTACAACTTGGGCCAACTACCACAATATCAACTCAACAGCAATGAAGAATATACTTGCAAGAAGTTTGAATGCGCCCCACAAGCTTTTGCAATATTCATTTCCCACATAAACCTTTACAAGGCAAACCGAGCCTTCTTATAGCTATGCATGTGCTATTTACCAATTTACAGCCCACTAGCTCGTAGGTCTCCCTCTTTGCCCAGCCATCATGCCAGGGAACCTTGGCATTGTTGAGGATCACTTCTTCAGCGTCGCCCATGATGACCAGAGACAGGTGTGCCTCTGTTGGTCCCATGGAAGGAGGACATACCATGACGACCAGCCAGAGCTCATCCATCCAAAATGGCCAAACCAGCAAACAGATACTGGGTTGCCCATGGAGAAACATCGCAGTTTTGGCGAGTGGTCCAGTGGTCCAGTGGATGGCGCGACTGGGTGAGGAACAACAGCCGCAACTTCACAGATGCCTACACCATCCAGATCTGCTTCGGGCGGACGCACTAGACCCAACCAACTGTGTGTCTCATACCGTGACTTCTTCCTGATAAATTCTGTGTGGACGTCGTTCTGCGGAAGCACAACGCTATCCTTGCTGTGTACAAAGACTTGTCGCGAGCCGAACAGCGAGAGTGCGCTAAAACATCTACAGTGCCTGCTGTGTGTCACCTCACGCTACTTTGTCGCGTTTTTCTCTGAGACAGTCAATTACTCAATGACAAGCATAGTGGTTGGTTAACTACATCCTAGAAAAGCTGTGTCCTGGAGTGAAGTAAACGTTTTTGCCCGGAAGATATATATCGATGGATGCCTTTCCTCTGACAGGTCACTGCTTCGAGACGCTTCTGGCGTGGCTGCCTCAGCATTTTCTGTGTTCATTCCAGCTCGGTTTTTAACCTCGTGCTACTTTGTTGCATGTTTCTGTAGGAGAGGCGATTAGAAAATGAACAGCGTAGTGGTTCTTAACTACATCTAGAGCGAAGCACATGTCACCCTCAGAGCGCCTGCGCCAACAGACTGTGTATTTTCCGTGGCTGACCTGTCGGTGCTGACAGTGATCTACTCAACAGCAGTGACGAATATACTTGGAAGTTATCGCACGTGAACCAGAGCCTTCTTATGGCTATGCATGCGCTATTTACTACTTTGCAGCCCACTAGCTCGTAGGTCTTCCCCTTTGCCCAGCCATCATGCCAGGGAACCTTGGCATTGTTGACGACCACTTCTTCAGCGTCAACCAGGATGACCAGAGGCAGATGATTCACACGTTATTGTTCAGTCTGCAGTGCAGCATGTGGTGATGCAATTGTTGAGATGGCAAAGCCAGCACGCTGGCTAGCATCATAGTTGAAGTGGGTAAGCCAGCACGCTGGCTGCCATTGTCCAGATGGCAAAGCCAGCACGCTGGCTGCCATCATAGTTGAAGTGGGTATGAGCCAGCACGCTGGCTACCATCATAGTTGAAGTGGGTAAGCCAGCGCGCTGGCTGCCATTATTGAGATGGCAAAGCCAGCACGCTGGCTACCATCATAGTTGAAGTGGGTAAGCCAGCACGCTGGCTGCCATTGTCCCCTTACCAGCAGCCCAAATGCTCACGACGATGAGCTGGGCTGTCACCGCTTGGCCGCCGGTGGGGGGCTTGGGAGGCCGCATCACACACAGACACCCACACACTCCCTCAACTTACACGAACACACACATACGCAGACTCATTTCCACACGGACATAGGCACACGCACAGAAGCCCACACACTACCTCAACTCACTCGACTTCACACTTCTCACTGCACACTTACCGGATAACTCGCACTCTGACTTCCTACGTGATGAAAAATACTTTCGGGCCACTCGTCGTCTAGTTTCAGTATAACATTTGGTGTTTTTTGCGTGGGGTGTGCATTTCTGTTCTCGGCCAATCATCAAGATGCTTTCAACCACCCAATAGTAAGTTCTAGACTTCCTGGAGTGAGGTGATGGTATACTCAAACTGAATCAGGTCAGAGCAACGATGAGATCGCGTCTCTCAGAGGAATGTATTAACATGGTCGAGGCTGGTTCGGGATAAGTGGCTCATCAAGCAAGAACAACTGCCATAGAACATAGCACAAAGTAGTATACAAAGGGTATCATAAGGATCATTGTACATATTTAGCAGGGCACGATGCTGAGCTGGACACAATTTTCTGTCCAACCTTCCTGGTTGGTACCCCCTTTCATTTCAGAGCTGAGTCAGTTGCGAGCACAGTGATGGTCGTTTGCATCTTGGGTAGGCCATCGAATTTACAAGGAAGCTTGATGATGGCAGGCAGCCAGAACTGTGGGATCAAGCGGCACTTGGGCGTGAAATACATTCAAGCACCATGGCGTCCCCTCCACAGACCTGATTGTTGTCTGGAACTTGCTCAGGACCTTATCCTGATTGGGCTCTCCAGATCTGGCAAAACCCCTTTAGCGTGTCTGGTCTGAAGTTGCGGCCCAACACTTGAGTTTCGCAGAGCATAAAAGCACTCTGAGGTTCTTCCTGGCACAGAGAGGCTTCAAGGTGGCCAACTATCCAGTGATCCCAGATGAAGATCCACCGGAACAGCTCTTTGATCCTGCTTTGCAGCAGCTTCGAATTAAAAGGTTGCATTGTGCCAGCATATAGCCCTGACCGCAGCAGGAGATTAGGAAATTGACAATGTCTAAAGTGCGTGTTGCCTCGGTCATCGCTATTAGGTTGGAGGCCATTGCTATTAGGAGCAAGGACGCTACTAGGTTGGAGGCCATTGCTATTAGGCGGATTTTTCCTTCAATAAAGTGTTATGCCCCCAAATTCTCTGAGGTCCAAATGCGTGGCCTTGACAATCCAGGCCCAGCGGTTGCACGCTGTTCGCTCTGCCCGGATGAGCCTTGCGCACGGAATTCAGAACGAGTTCAAATACAATTTAAACCCAAGCACTGAGCTCCAAGACCCGAACAAGACCAAGCTAGTAGCGTCCTTGTTACTAGAAAGCTTTATTGTTACTAGTAGCGATGGCCTCCAACCTAACAGCGATGGCCTCCACCTAGTAGCGTCCTTGTTACTAGAATGAGCTCCAATACCCGAACAAATTGGCAAACACCTTCTTTTCTGCGCGAGCAAGCCTGACCGGACATGTTGATGTTATTGTCACATGCAAGCCATTTGGTTGGGCTAATATGTGGATGACAGCTGCTGCTTGATGCGAGAAACTGATCAGCTCGAGATTCTGGTTGATGAAGTAAATGGATAAATATCGGTCTTGCGTAGGAATGTCTTCGGTTTTCACCCACATGACAGTCAAAGTTGGTCGTGGCTGATTGTGTTCCTGATGCACCCCTTCGTGTTCAAGCGTCCAACCTTCCCACAATTGAATCCTGAGCGAGGACAGACTATGGATCCTCCAAGTCAACGTTGGGTCCTCTGAGATTGCGGAGTTAAGATCTTACAAGCTAACATATGTTAATGTTTTGTACTTTCTCTTCACAAAGTTTTGGATCTTTTCTTGATGCTGCATTTGCTGTAGGTATTCCTCGCTGGAGAACTGTCGTAAAGAAACGAACTGGCTGAAGACCTTCTACATGCGGTCCCTCGGACACAAAAACAGAAGTGGCAACGAATTGCCGCCGAGCATTGCACTTCACTCCTCTTGCTAAAGACCAAGCTTACAATAAGGCAACAGGGTCGAGGAATGTCAGGGAATGCAAGATAACTTTATATAATGTCAAAACAAAAATGCCAAACTGGAGCAGCACAAGGATACGTGCCGAATCCCAGGAAAGGTCCACGTTGGCCAGTTATTGATACTACCAACGGTGGCCTAGAGGAGACTGCTGCCAAGGTGGGTCTGGGCAAGATTAGGGGAGCGGGAGGGGGGTAGGCCGTAGGGTGGGCTAACAAGTGGCTCAAGTAGCTAGTAGTGAGGTTTAGCTACTAGGTTGGAGGCCATCGCTATTAGGTTGGAGGCCATTGCTATTAAGCTTGAGTAGGTACTACCTAGGACGCAGAAGGGCTCAGGCTTCAGGCGGGGGGAGCTTCCTTGAAGAAGCATGAGCCTCAATAATTTGGTTGCTATATAGATTTTTTGGAAAATAGCATATGTGGACCTGTTGTCTTTGGGTGGAAGGACATTGTCTTGCAACCAATCGTTCGTGGATCCTTTCAAGCACAGCTATCAACAGCTGGGCCTGACAGTTGCAGTGAGGTGCTGAAGATTCTGCAGCGCATCAAAGGAGTTGAGAAAGCAACTGGACAGTTTGCCAATCCTTCGATTGAATAATGAGCCTGTGCTGCCGCAACTGCAAATGTATCGAAGTTCAGGCATGCCGGACTTTTTAAAGCAGCTGCTTCTGATGTGAGCACACCTTTGCTCCCAGGCTGAAGAGCTGTACACGGCTAGATTCTTCTCTTGCAGAGGGCTGCTGGCTTTTCAGTTTCATTTGATCAGAATTTTAAATCTTGCACGAGGCAGGATCCCATCAGAACGCCACTGCAATCCAAGCCAAAAAGTCGAGTTGACTCGTAGCCGCAGATGTGGCGTCTTTGGTTCCAAGTAACAAGGGAATTGTAGTTGCAAACAATCCAATAGCGATGGCCTCCAGCCTAGTAGCGATGATGGCCTCCAACCTAATAGCGATGGCATCCAACCTAATAGTAATGGACATTGTGTATATATAACCTGAAAAGATAGAGTCTTCGGCTGAGGTTTGGCAGATTGACAAAGTAGGTTCGTCAAGTCTGCGGGAACCTGTTGGTTTAGTTTGGGTTGCTTTCCATCTGGAACACTGCGCGTCCTGTTATTTTGGCTCAGACTCACCAAGCTGAGGCTGGAGGAGGATAAACATCAAGCCAGGGGAAGTTGCTAGTCAACAATATTTGCTTCACAAGCCAGCTCTCTTGAACTGCTTCAACACCTACCAAAGCCACTTGACTTGTCAGACATGGCTCTGCAGGATCCCCAGAGGATGTCAGTCAAGAGTCACTGTGTCAAAGTCTGTGTGCAGCAAAGTTGTCAACAGAAGGTTTAACATGAGCATTAAACACCACCGTCTATACATGTGCAGATACTTGCAAAGCTGATGAGACTTCATTTTCGCACGGTAACCCAATGTTTACAAACAGAGTTGACAAAGTCCAGTTGGGCTATGACAACAAATCCTAAGAGTTGCCAGAAAACTGGGACAACTGCCCGAATAAGGCCATCAATTGTGACGGTTCAGACAGCGCTTAGTCAGTTGTGCAAGCAGACGGCCGGCGCGGGACCTCGTTTCTAGTCTTAGGTTCCGACAAGTAACCGCTTGCACACAGTGTATTTCAGCATGCTTTTTTTGAGCAGGCAGACAAGACTTAACCTCTTAAATCTGGACGTTTGTTTGCACATCCCTCAAGAGAGTCAAAAAAGGCATCACAGGAAGTCTCATACGCAGTTGCCATGGTTCCCTAATTTGACTAACGTCTGAAGCAAAGAATTATCGAGTTGCAATATCGCGTTGGCTGTATTTCCATCAGTCCTTGAAACTTCCCTTCTCGGTTTCACATGAACCCGCAGGGATGCGCTCCATAGCAGTCACAGATCGAGATGGTGTTGTGGTGTTGAGGCGGGCCTTCGTGTTTCTAGCCGGATGAGACTTTGCAATTGTAGTAGAAACCAATGGACACCAGGGATAGAGAGAGAGAGAGAGACAGAAAGACAAAAATAGAGAAGGAAGGAAGGAAGAAAGGAAGAGAGGAATAAAGGAAGAAAGCAAGAAAGGAAGAAAAGGAAAAAGGGAGGAAAGGAAGAAAGGAAGAAAGGAAAAAAGGAAGGAAGGAAGGAAAGGCGGGAAAGGAGGGAAAGGAAAGGATAAGAGAAGACAAAGAAAAGAAAGACAGACAAAGAAAGAAGAAAGAAAGACAGAAAGAATGAAAAGAAAAGAAAAGAAGAGAAGAGAAGAGAAGAGAAGAGCAGAGAAGAGAAAAGAAGAGAAAAGAAAAGACAAGAAAAGAACTAAAGAAAGAGAAAGAAAGAAAGGAAGAAATAAAGAAAGAAAGACCGAAGAAAAGGAAGAGAGGGAGAGAGGAAGAGAGGGAGAGCAGAGAGAGAGGTAAAAACAGAAGAAATGAAAAGGAGCAAGGAAAGGAATCGAAGGGAAAGGAAGGAACAGGAAAGGAAAGAAAGCGAAAGGAAAGGACGACAAGAAAGAAGAGTTTGACAAGCCGTCCAAAGCAAACGTTGATGACATCTCAGTTTAGCCTCTATCCCATCTACGAATGGGAAATGATCCTGATCCTGATTCGGGATCCTTCTGTGGGGCTGTTTTGAATACAAGAGGCTTGCACATGCACTCAATCAACTTCAAGCGTTTGCATTCAGGGCGCCTGAGACGGCTGCGGATGATCCTATTGCTAGGCTCGATGTACTGGGGTGACCAGGGTGCATTTTTGATAAACCTGACAGGGCAAGAGTGGAACTCCGGAACTCCTTTTCACGCAGCAGCACGTTGCAAAGAGTTTCTGGCCTCGAAAAGCTGTGACCTCTTTCTTATCAATCCACTTCTTTCGATGGGGTGGCTCAAGGCAAATCGCCGCGGTGATTCCTGGCGTTTTGTCGCGGAGGGAACCGAGAGTTGACTGGAGGGCGAGACCTCGGCGGAGGGTACCGTCGGGACATATGAGACAGCACAAAAAGCTGCTCTCTGCCTGGAGATAGAGGAAGCGCTGCTGCTGTATCTGCCACTGGGAGGGCATCTACTATGGCATCTAATGGCTGCGTTTAGCTTCCCAAGTTAGTTGGATGTCTATAAAGCTCACGGCCAGATATTGTTGACAAGAACCCGCAACACCCAAGCAACTTGCTTGGTCAGACAAGTGCCGCCAAGATGTTTATTGTTGAACATTCTTGATTCTTGAGATTATTTTTGCTGACCTGAGCAATGGATTGCATCCTGGGAAGCCAAACTTGTTGTGTCATACTTTGCTTAGCACGAAAGGTGTAAACCGGTACTGAGTGTGCAAGTCTTGAGACGATCAACTGGTCTCTTCTCTCAGTTTTCTATGCTTTTCTCTAGTTTCTTTGCTTTTCTTTATCGCTCAGTGGCGTGCTGACGACCATCTTTTCGATGACCGCCGTGCAGAGCGAGAAGGTGAAAGGCCTTGGATCGGCCATGGCCTCAACAGCGTCAACAGCGTCGAAAGAGTCCTTTTGGCTTAGCATGTGTCCTAGACACTCATTAAATCAATCTCTTCTTTTGAGTTGCTAGTAGCGATGGCCTCCAACCTAGTAGCGATGGCCTCTACTAGCGTTCTAATTTTGGGTCTTTTCAATATTTTTCAAGGGGTTGACCAGGTTGACACCGCAGATTGCATGTCCTTGCATTTCTTGCTGAGATGAATACAATCCTGAACACGTACAGCGAGTGCTACCTGTTGCAGGTTGGACATTGGGGTGGTGCTGCAATGAGACATGAGCATGAATTTGCTTTGACTAGGCCGTGTTTGTACGCACCAAGAATTCTGCTCCGATCAGAACAAATAGCGTCTTGCATGGTCAGAAGTGAACCTTTTTTGTTGCAATTGAACCTGTCAACATATCGATAGCAACCGGTTCATGACAGATCAACATGGATGTGCTAGTCGTCTCCATCATTGTGGACAAAGATGTTCGCTTCCCAGAACATTGTGCCAAGGATTGTTGGCATGGTTTTAGTGGCTTTTTGTTGGCTTTTCGCAGGCGTCAGAGCAAAAGTCTTTTTGTTTCAAGCTTCCTTGAAACATGCTGGAAGCACATGTAATCAAAGTTCTGTGTTCATTTTTGAGTTGACCTTTAGCCTAATTGAAGTAGTGCAGAAATAGCAGACCCTATCCCATACTTGTGGGAGCAATCCTGTTGAGTGTCGAAGTTCCACGGCCCATGAGGCCAACATTGGTACAATTATGGCCTTGACGCCCTCAATCAAGGACCTGCTGCAAGCAGTGAGTGCATAAAATGCGCAAACCACTCCATGTCAAGTACTGGAAGGCCTATGATTTCGTCACAGGGAAGACTGTGACCATTGTGATTAGATTGAACTTCAAAAGGGGACTGCAAAACTCAATTTTCAGTATCAAAGATCTAGCCTGTCCAAAATCGTGAAGCTCATTGAACTCAAATGGACATTTTGCAAGAGGACTTGTTGCAGCCAACACAGCTCGCCATCAAGCGCGAGACAGAGGCGGTTTGAGGTGCGATAGCGTCCAGTGCTTTTGTGCTGCGGACAAGACTAAAAAGGGTCCGGGGTGTCTTGGAGGATGTTTCTTTGTTGGAGCCAACCCTTAGTCTGCCCAATTCCCCACTCGTGATCACTCGGTATGACCCTCAAGGATGAGCTTGAATTTTTTGTGAGGCAGCCTGGCGCCCCAAAGCCTTTGCTTACTCTGATCATTTGCCGCAAAAATCGATGCAGCTGAGCTTGTTGAGGAGTTTGGTCACAAATGGTCACAGTAGGGCTGGATTTGTTAATGCAAATGCCGAGTGTCGCATGGAATTCTTTGATGCCTCTGCGTGTTCTTGCCTACTACTACTACTGCTGCTGCTGCTGCTACTACCACTACTACTACCACCACTACCACTACCACTACCACTACCACTACCACTACCACTACCACTACCACCAATACTACTACTACTACTACTACTACCACCACTACTACCACTACTACCACTACTACCACTACTTCTACTCCTACTCCCACTCCTACTTCTACTACTACTACTGCTACTACTACCACCACCACTACACTACTACTACTACTACGACGACGACGACGACGACGACGACGACGCCGGCGGCGGCGACGACGACGACGACGACGACGACGACAACGACCACGACGACCACGACGACCACGACGACCACGACGACCACGACGACCACGACGACCACGACGACCACGACGACCACGACGACC